AAAAGAAGTAGGTACTTATTATTTTTCATTGGTTTTTTCCCGTACGTTAAGTATATAATAAAAATGTTTTTATTTGTTTTTATTCTTTGTTTACTTTCTAATTTGGGTAGAAAAAAGTTTATTTTTCGTTTCTTATATACTTGTTTTTTTATTTACTACACAGCAAATTATAATTATTTCCCCCTGTATTAAAATCTACTGTTCAGATCTACGGTTTTTTTGTTTACCCATACTGTTCCAAAATCTGGCAACGCTGCCTAGATCGAAAGAAATTTCCATCCTAATCACCCTCAAAATGAACCGATGCTCGAGGACAGTGACCCCGAGTGCCACATGCAGCAAACCTTTACCCCGAGGCAGATTCAGAAGTGTCACCAGGAAGTGTCGTCTTGACGACACTTCTCGTGTCGTGCCGTGCGAAATGTGTTTCATATAATTGTATGTATTTTAGATGTGAAGCGACACTTCTCGGTCGCGTCGGCGGTCGTTTGTCGCGCCTACCGAAATGGTACCTTTAGAGAGATCGGGCAAGCACCAATGGGGTCCTTACGCTAATTACCAACTACGTTATTTTCGAAATAACGAATGCACGCAAACGTGATTTTGTAGAGAGTTCGGGCAGACTAAATTTATTTTAGGTTTAACGTTATATTTTCGGGTATTTTCGATTTGACCATTGTTTTGAGAGCACTTTTTGTTCATTGTTCCTATCATTTCATTTTGATTTGTTTAGATTGTGGCAATCGTAGTTTGATTTATATATTTGTGTTGATTATTTTTTTAGAATTAGCAATATTGGCAGAGGCGGATGCTGATATAGAGTTCATTATACTAAATAATATTTTGGAAAATTATGAAGAACCGCATGGTTTAAATAAACTTAAATAAAATAATAAATTCCCATAAAACACTCCTAACAATGATTCAGCAATATTCTGCCTCTTCCCAATGTACTTTAAAAAAACTACAATTACAAAAAAATGTTTAAATTGCCACTATAACATTTTAAAACTACTACGAACACAATAGACGTCAAAACAAACTAATGCAAACAAAATCCAAGCCGAACAGAAACAAGAAACCGGGAAATCGCTTTAAAAGACAAATGACAAGCGGCATTCCACTATGGATGATATTAAATTCGGATACATTCGGCTTCCCTTATATTTCATAAATCCCTTCCGCAAACTTACGGAATTAGCGTTTTGCGATAACGATAATAGGGTAATTCTGTAAATATTTTGATATGCGCATGCGTTGATGTCAAATAATACCGTACGCAATTAACGTAACACGGTATTGGTGCTTGCCCGATCTCTCTATTAATAAGGGTATGGTGTAGTGATGTAAGAATACGTATCCAAAAATCCGTTGAATCCGAATATTAAAAGGATCCGGATATTCCGGAATCAATAGTGTAAATTCGAATACGAATTCGGTATCAAAAAGAACAGAAACAAAATCGTAATACACGAATCGAATGCTGCAAGTTCTGTTATGACAGAGCCGATTCGGGTTTTGCGGGTGGCAGCCGATACGAACTATGGATACGAAATCAGAATTCGGAATCGTCTAGCGTTGTTGCAATTCATAATCGGTTAGTCGACATGCACTGCATATTTTAAAGGTAACATGAAGTTATATAAATATAAATGAGAAATTTTGTTTCTGATATTATGATAAAAAACAAAATATTTGAGATTTATTTTGTTACTTCACTCTCAAACATAAATTCTGCTAGAGTTGACAACACTGCCCGATTCCCAAGGTCGCGGTGTATTTACGGTTGCGTATTATGATTTCACACATATGGATACGTATCGGGATGATGAATCCGAATATCTCTTGGTTCCGAATACGTATTATCCGAATACTAAAAAGATACGGATATTCACAACACTAGTATGGTGCGTTATTAACCGACTACTAACCGCTAGTAACCAGAATTTTTTGACAGCGGTTCCTGAAAAAATCTAATTTCTTGGTTACATTTGGACCCCGGCTGAGATTTACGTCACTTTTGTGACAGATTGACATTCGACTTAATAAATTGCGTTCGGTCTGCCAAGTTCCTTTAACTCCTTTAACACTTTTTACTCTAAACGACCCTTTTAGCGTTCGGTTTAGTCCGACTAGTGATAGTTTAAGGGCCGATTCCACCGTTGTGTTAAACGGAGATTAAAATGACATTTTAAATTTCGTTTAATACAACGTCATTTAAAAGCACCCTAAAAAACTCCGCTTTTGTCCCGCTCCAGCCCCTGACTATCCGAACTCGCCTAGTAACCCTAAAAATATAGTGGTTAGTGAACTGACGTTTGAGTCACCATTTTCAGGTAATCGCCTCCCTAATTTAACCGATTTTTCAGGAATGTCAAGCAGAGAGGTTAGTTTTGGACCGAGTAACATATTTCGGTTAATAACGGACCATATCCTAATAGTCCGGTCAATTTAGACATCCCAGGGGACAAAAATTTCCACCCAGCTGAAAATTCGTAGGATTGTTCAAAATACCGTTATAAATGAAATGTAAAAAGTCCTTATCCTTATCCTTATTTTTCGCGATTTTCAGCAAAACGGTAAGTTTTTATCATAAAATTAGTTCAGACAAAAATTGTAGAGCAGATAATTATCTATAAAAAATGTCTAAGATTTTTTTTCCCAAGAGCCACCGTTTCTGAGATATAACGATTTAAAAAGTTAGAAGAGTTGTAATCGTCGTAATATACATACGTTTCCAAGCCACCTTTGAGGTAGTGTACTTAGCGTGTTTTTTTTAACGTGTTTTCCCCGGTAGGCCTATTCCACGGATCTGTTGTGACTTTTTTTAATTTGAAACTATTGAATAATAAAACATATTGGCAAGGGTTGAAAATAATAAAAGCGGTGTAAATAAAAAAAATTGGGAAATTTATTCGTCGGAATCATAATTCTCAGATATTTCTGCTTCCTCTTCTACTTGTTCTTCTTCTTCTCCTTCTTCTTTATCCTGGGTGCATGTAAATTGACTGAATAGTGATACATTGCGTGTCTCCTCGTTGGTATCAAACGAGTCATCAAGTGTTGATGATTCAACATTGGAGCACGACCGGCCTTGACAATTAGTGCATGCTAGAACAAAACAGTCCAACTTTTTTACAACCACGTTTAGCACTACATCCCGTTTTGCAGTTGCAAAAAATTGTGTCGAGCAGTTTTTCCGGCGCAGGTGGTGGTAAAGTATGCGGTTTCAAGAAGGAATTAAAGCAATCATGATGATACTTAGCCTCAGCAGCAACTAAATCGTTTTCGAATTCGAGTCGAGCAAGAACAGCTTTTGCCATAGCATCAGAACGAGTCCGAGCTATTTCCAGAATCGAATCTTTAAATGTAAGTGTACTTACTTGTTAACTTTTTAAATCGTTATATCTCAGATAACATTTTTTATAGATAATTATCTGCTCTACAATTTTTGTCTGAACTAATTTTGTGATAAAACTTACCGTTTTGCTGAAAATCGCGAAAAACCCGTTTTTGTGACCTTTGACCTTGATTTTTTTTCCAGGTGCCGGATTGATGAGGACTTTTTAGGTTTCATTTTGAACAATCCTAGCAATTTTCAGTTGGGTGGAAATTTTTGTACCCTCACTCCTATTTTTTGGTCTAATTTGACCGGATTATAAGAAGTAAATTTAAGAACGTATGTCCTAAATACAAAATTAATCACTGACCCTTCGAATCTCGTAATCTCCAGGTGCGGAGAGCATTTATGAGTATTTAACTGCTTTATGCATACCATCCGAGTTATTTTACTCGCAAAATATGATGTTCAATTGTGAAACAAGAAAATTAAACTTTATCACTGCATAACAAAATTTTAACCAATAGTGCGATAACACTGGCTGGTCCTTCGAGTTTTTTCCAAGATATTTTTATCATTGTTATTCATTTTAATTTATCATCATTCAATGTTGTTTTTCTTTGTGTGGCGCGCGCCAGTATGGTTAAATTCTACAATTTCACCAGTAAAAACATCAACAAATTAATATTTTACATCTACTAAATAAATAAACAATTCTCAAATAGTTCGACTGCTTTTTACCCTAATACATATAATGTGAAGTCATAAAACTATAAATAGCATTTTTCTCAGAATACCGAACGTTGAACACCTGTGTTTTCAAGTGCACAGCGGTGCATTGGGACAAAATGTGTGTCCGGCGCATAGTGAACGAAGCACAAATGACGTATTTCATTATGTCATGATGTGTTCATTGGTTGAAACCGAATAGGTGCGTCAACTATGCCCCGGACACTCATTTCGTCTCAACAGTATATATTAGGGTGAGCTCGACGCGAAGAGTTCAGTTGTATGTTTGCCATCATTCAGTAGTTGTCTTATTGCCATCGAGTTCAGTTGTCTTTTTGCCATCATCGCTCACAGTTGTCTTTGCCAGGTGCTTTCTGCCGACGGCACGTTACTTTCTACATTTTTACAAGCGTTTAATGCATTTTATTTTCTGGTGAAAGTTATTTCTTCTACAATTGTTATGGCATAAGAAATTCTACAAACAAATGTTTTCAAGTTGGTAACTAAAAAATCAACTGTATTAGTTAATCAAATTGTGATGAACTAAAATTGTAAATATTTAAAACTGTTTAGTGAAGATAAGTGAATCAACCACTATGTATTTACTTCAGTGAAAATAGTAAATTAAAAACACTTCTTTTTCTACTACCTATGACTCGTTAGTTATTTCTACAAAAGAACCCAATTCTTCTAACACCAGCGACATATGCTACAGAACATTTTTACCAAAGAAATATTCGGAAGTAACACCGGTATTTTTTCAGTACTGTCTCATCGGTTTCAATATTCTCGAGACAAATAACATCGCGAAGTATTCCCAGTGACGTGCATATAAATACAATTTTATATTAGAAAATCCTCAAAATATTTTTGCTTTTCGCGAGAGGTCCGGTTTGCTCTTAAGACGTACAAATATTAATTTTATTTCCAGGACCCGATCAAATAGTACCAGCCGAGAACTATATTTGCACAGATCCCGCCGGCTATGTCAGACTTCGAATCCCAGAGAATGGCAAAGCGATAGAAACCATCAAACCCATATCAGTACCTGGACTTTTACAAAAAACAGCCAAAGAGCATCCAGACACCGTCGCCCTAGCCAGAAAGATCAATGGTGTATGGGAAAAAACCACCTTCAAGTAAGCATAAAGGTAACATTTGGGAAGGCGAGACCGAGTAAGATGACATGCGACAGGCAGCAAACAGCAAATACCGCCGTATTAAAAGTGCTGTCGCTTCTCTTGCAACGGTCACGCTCTCCTAAATGGTTTTCATTTAATTACATGTGTTCAGACGTTTTCGGTCGCCTTACGTTGTCGTTTTACGCCTGTCGCCTTACTCGGTTAGGTTAGGTTAGGTCCTCAGACAATTTTCGCCACAAATCCGCTGCGAATAAAAGCGTTGGTTTGGGGGAGTCTTTATTAGTGACAAGTCGTATACAGTGTACATGTCGGCGACGGGCTCCGTGAACAAACATTTTTTGATGTGTTATTCTCATATTATAGCTTATTAAAGATTATCAATCAACGAAGATTTATTTTTGTTTGTAGAGAATATCACGCCCAAGTTCGTACCTGCGCTAAAGGCTTTATAAAATTAGGATTAGAAAAAAACCATTCGGTTTGCATTTTGGGTTTCAACAGTCCCGAATGGTTCATATCGGATCTAGCGGCGATATTTGCCGGGTAAGTACACGCAATGTGCTTTGTTATCTGATTTTAAATTACATTACTATAAATCTCGATTCTTTTTAGAGGTATAGCGGTGGGTGTTTACACTACAAACTCGGCGGAAGCCTGTTACTATTGCGCCGAAAATAGCAGAGCCAATATTGTTGTCGTTGAAGATCAAAAACAGTTGGAGAAAATATTGGAAATTAGGTCTAGATTACCAAATCTAAAAGCGATAGTTCAATATAGCGGAGAGCCTACGAACCCCGATGTGATAAGTGTAAGAAAAATAATTTTGTACCAAAAAACGATTCCATTCTTTAAAAAAACTCCAGTATCGTACTCATTTATATTACCTAAGCTGTGCTTTTCGGATCTATTTGAAAAGGTTATCAATTTTTTTAGTGGAAAAGACTGATGGAAATAGGTGCTGCGGAAGCTGACGAATCTCTAGATCAAGTCTTGAAACAAATAGCTGTCAATCAATGTTGTACTTTGGTTTATACAGTAAGTATGCAACACTAATATCTGTGGGTTTTTATCACGAATTTATAAAAAATTTTTACTAATTTCCATCTCTGGTTTTAAACACGCAGGATTATTTTTATTTATAGAAAAACAAAAAATTACCACTTTCTAATTCGATTTTTTTACATTTTTTTATAGCCTTTGTGACAGGTTTTCTCAACTAGTTAGAAATACTCTCACTTGTGGCGTTCGAACTGGGTGTGCTCGGGCGCCAGTTTGTTTAAGAGTAGTTTGCTCCACTTTACCTATTGGAAAAATTCCAAAAAGGGCTATAGGTAGCTGCAGTGAAAAAAGAAAATTCCAGAGGGTCAGCGATATTACGGTAGTTATGTAGAACCTGAAAAGAGATTTACCATAAGGAAATAAAATGCCAGGTTTCAGTTTGACACATACACTGATCTGTATTAACTAACATACGTTACCGTTGATAATCTGTGTACTAAATATTTTATTTACAAGCCCTCCCCAAGTTCTGGATCTAACTCTGAACAAAATTAAACAAAAAGCATTTGTAACGGAAATTAACTGGGATGGTAAACTAAAACTCAATCGGACAAGTGGGGGGCGTTTAAGAATAAAACGGTGTCGGGGAAACAGCGGTCAAACCAGAAGTACTACGTGTCGTTGTAGTCAGCGCCGCCGAGAGCCAGGTAAGGTCCCAGGTCAATTCTCCGGATCGGGCCCCGAGACAATTTTATAAAAAATAAAAAAAAAGTCTTCAAGGCAATAATTTCTCCTCCTCTACTTGAATTTCTCTAAAAAAAAGATCTTCAAGCAAAAATTTCTCCATTAGTCCCGGCTGCCCCCCCCCCCTCATGTCGGCCCTGGTTGTAGCAAGTCTATGATTTTCGGCAGGATGAACTTCCGGAATCATATGAGCTTCTGACTATTCGGTTATCCCTAAAGCGCGGGGAATATAGAGACGCAAGTGACGTGCAAAAGATGAATTGCAAAACTAGCTACAGTCTAACAGACTACAAGATCAATATCCTGGCGACGTAATCCCTGAGGATGACGCTCCAGGCTATTTAACCTCGTATAAACCAGACTCTGGGAGCGAAGCCGAATCAGCCCATTCTACCACTCGGGATAGTCACTTTACCAGTCAACTGGTCGGGAATTCACTAGAAATTTAACTACTTATTGGGACAGGTATCAGGATTAAATAAATCAAAAGAATGTTAATCGCCGAACTAGAGAAATTTAAATCCGGAACATATTATCTGAGTTGGTTATCAAATTAGCCCATTCTACTGCGGGAGTAATCACTGTCTTCGATAATAACTCAGACAATACTCCAATTCGGGGAATTTTAATATCGGAATGTACAAATAAGAAGTTCTTAGGAACCCTAACATGGCCTAATGGGAATGAACGGAAATCAAATTTTATTTATTAAAGAAAAATAATCCGAGTTAATAGTTACTTGAAATGAATTAAGTTATTTTACACGGTTTCAATGCGGTAAATAAATAAATAAACGTCTACGTGCCCATAGTTGCGTTTACTGAGTTGCCTCAACGCGAAAACACTCAAAACCAACCAGTTTCTGGCACGTAGACATAAATATCTTTTCTTTGAACGTTAAAAAGACGAGATCGGTTTGTACTTCGATAGAAGTCAGACGGGTTTCACTAAAAACACGATGACATAGTGCTCTGAGCAAAGATAATAACATAATATTAATCCCAAGGCAATGTTAAGCCTCTAGGTATTTTTAAATAAAAGTTAAATGTAAATATATGTACACATTTAAGAGTTGTTGTGCATCGTTTTGCACAATAAATGGTTTTTTACGAAGTTGCTGGAATTTAATTATCAGTATGAAAATATTTACAGCTAGCACCGAAAGGAGACGGTCTACTGGGAAAGCGAGCATTAGGGCCTTATTCATAATTTGTGTTGGGTTCAACTTTTGGTAAACTACAAATCCAACATTAACGATTTGTCGTTTTTGATTTAGTAGGTGAACTTAGCCAGTAGTTCCTTAATGAACTTTTTGGCCTGTGTCAATCTTGGATAGTTTTTCTACTATTCCTGGAACTATGCATTCATTGTCTGATGCATGCCTTACACAATGCCTTAAGCAGAGTTTGAGGCCGTTCATGGTCTTATATGGGCCTTCTCGAGCTAGTTCGTCGGCCTTTTCATTACCGATATCGTACCTAGCCTGGAACCCAAGCTGTCCCTTTGTTTTGAATACTTCACTTTATCAGGTCTTCTTGGTAGTCGTTCTCTGATTTTTGGTTAGAGAATTGTCTTTAGAGCTGCTTTGTTATCAGAGTAAATAGCAATAGTTTTGCCTGATACATGCTAATTTATTGTGTTTAATGTTGTTTGTGATCGCTCCTAAACTCTGCCTGTAAATCGCCCCCTGAGGATAATTGCTAGGTCGTCCACATATCCTAGGTATTTTGGACAATGTTTTGAGTAGGTTGTCCAATAGCATTGTAAGCAGCACTTTTTGTTTGTATGGTTGCCTTCCTTTCTCCGTATTTCACCATTTTCGGCCCTATACCATCGTCTCGTTCCGTTTTACCTAGTTTTATGAGCGTGATTTATTTCGTTATCATCGTCTATTACCTCCTTGTATTTGTACTGCCATAATTATTTCTATACTTTAGTTGTTTGTGTAGAGTTGATTTCTCGTACCTCTTACTGGTGTGATTTACTTTCGTTATAAGTTAATAATAATGTTATTGTTAAATATAACTCGACAAACCTGTCGCATAAAATCTTTTCAATGAATTGCTGTTTATCAGTCGTTATCTCAAAATTTAATATCCCTAATGAAATATTCCCTTTTCAGTCAGGTACGGTAGGCAATCCAAAAGGAGTCATGTTGAGTCACGACAACTTGACATGGGACGCTCTTTGCATCGTAGAACGTTTAGGAATCATAGCGGGTGATGGAGAGGTCCTCGTGAGCTATCTGCCTCTAAGCCACGTGGCTGCTCAAGTAGTTGATATTTATATTACAATGTCAACAGCTTCCACGATATATTTTGCCGACAAGGATGCCCTGAAAGGTAATATCACTTCTTTTGCTTTTCTTTTACTTACTTTTGAATTATGTATTTTTTTTAGGTACTTTGATCAATACTTTGCTTGAAGTGCAGCCGACTAAATTTTTGGGGGTTCCCCGTGTTTTCGAGAAGATCTACGAAAAAATGATGCAAATCGCGTCTAAAAGTGGTGTTTTGAGGAAATATATTTCTACGTGGGCGAAAAAGCAAGCATTGCAACATCATATTGACAATATTAATGGGTGAGTTAATTTCAATTTTGTATCTTGAACCGGAAATCGCTTAATGTTAAATCTGGTGAATACAGCGATTGGGGAAGCATTTTTTTTACATAATTAAGTACTGAAACTTATGTTTGATATTAGGTCAATTAATTTGAAATCTTTTTTTAAGGATCAAATCTTATACTTGGGGTTATAGTTTTGCCAGGACCATGCTTTTTAGTAAGGTTAAAGCAGCTTTAGGTTTTTCGAGATGCACGTACTTTTGTTCAGCCGCGGCACCGTTGGCTGTGGAAATTAAAAAATACTTTTACAGCTTGGATATACCCATTATGGAATGTTTTGGTAAGTTCTCTGAGAATCATTTTCATTTATAACTCAAATGCGCAATTTACTAAAAAAAAAATTTTTTAATCAATGTTGCATATGTTACAATACTCATTTCAATAAATATTTTTTAAGAAAAACGAATAAAAAATGATAAGTTTATTTTAAAATATTTTCAAAGCAGTCCTACTAATAAATGCGAAAGTTTGGATGGATGTTTGTTACTCAATTACGCCAAAACGGCTGAACGAATCTGGATGAAATTTGGCACAAAGATAGGTTATAGTCTGGACATAGGCTACTTTTTATCCCAAAAAAATGTACGATTCCCGTGGGATAAATTTGTTTTGTTTTTAAAGAGCAAGAGATCAAACATGATAGCAAGAGATCAAACATGATTTTTTCATAGTGGTAGTGAAACATGAAAATTTGAAATAGAGATACTAAGCATAAATAATGTCGCGTTTCAGAATTTTTGGTTTTTCGCATTTTAAGGGGGGAAAGGGGGAAGGGGAGGAGGAGTTTCTATGGGAGTATCAATTTTTTAAAAGTAGGGACATGAAAATTAAGGAGGGGAAAATGGAAAGTATCGTAAAAATAAATAAATAAATAAAATTAAATAAAAATAAACATAAATAAAAATAAATAAATAATAAATAAAAGTAACTCAATATTATTAAAAATTAATTAAAATTAATAAAAAATATTACAAAATAAATAATACAAAATAATACAAAATAATACAAAATAATACAAAATAATACAAAATAATACAAAATAATACAAAATAATACAAAATAATACAAAATAATACAAAATAATACAAAATAATACAAAATAATACAAAATAATACAAAATAATACAAAATAATACAAAATAATACAAAATAATACAAAATAATACAAAATAATACAAAATAATACAAAATAATACAAAATAATACAAAATAATACAAAATAATACAAAATAATACAAAATAATACAAAATAATACAAAATAATACAAAATAATACAAAATAATACAAAATAATACAAAATAATACAAAATAATACAAAATAATACAAAATAATACAAAATAATACAAAATAATACAAAATAATACAAAATAATACAAAATAATACAAAATAATACAAAATAATACAAAATAATACAAAATAATACAAAATAATACAAAATAATACAAAATAATACAAAATAATACAAAATAATACAAAATAATACAAAATAATACAAAATAATACAAAATAATACAAAATAATACAAAATAATACAAAATAATACAAAATAATACAAAATAATACAAAATAATACAAAATAATACAAAATAATACAAAATAATACAAAATAATACAAAATAATACAAAATAATACAAAATAATACAAAATAATACAAAATAATACAAAATAATACAAAATAATACAAAATAATACAAAATAATACAAAATAATACAAAATTAATAAAAATTCCTAAAAATTAATAAAAAATATTAAAAAATATTAAAAAATAATAAAAAACAATCAAAATAATAAAATTTAATAGAAATTTAATAAAAATTGTCAGGAATCGCATGAAAAAATTTCTCCCAAGTTAAAAAAAACTGTTATTTACTTTTAATAATTGTGATTTGAGAAATTCAAGCGGGTCAATTAATATAGATGGTCCACTAACTATACCGGGTGTTCAAATTAAAGTGTTACGGCTAAATCCCGCCGTTCATAAAAAAACGTGTCAGACGAAAGTTTTATAGTTTTGTGGGGAAAAAATTTTGGCTAAAATCGTTTTTTATAACTAACCATAATATGGCCAACTTTTTTTTCGCCCAGTAAAATGTTCAAGTAGCTGTTACTCAAAAAGTAAAAGTCCAATAAAAAAAATATTCCCTTCAAAAGTTTCTTATTTTTTTATGTTCTTTAAGAATATGCAAAAAAAATATGGGGTTCCAATTTAAAAAAAAAAAACAAAGTCCACCTCGATATGGCCATATTATATATAATAGTTTTTTTAATTAAAGTGTAGCAGATATGCAACATTGCTTAATTAAGGCTTAAACGAGTTAAAATGGGGACAATCTGTTAGTTTTGTCTGAATATGAGAAGTGTAAGTAGTAGTAGTTAACTGTAATTGAAATGTAGCAAATATGCAACACTTCGAATTTAAAGCTTAAACTAGTTAATATAGGGACTATATGTTAGTGGTATTCTTAAATATGGGAAGTATATGAAGTAGTTAACTATAATTGAAGTGTAGCACATATGCAACATTACGTATTTAATGCCTAAACTGTTAGTTTTATACCTAAATATAAGTAACAGTTAACTGTAATTGAAGTGTATCAAATATGCAACATTTAGGGCTTACACTAGTTACTACGGTGACCATCAGTTAGTTTTTGCTTGTTTCAAAACTAATAAATCAAACAGTGCTTTAGTGAAATAAGAAAAATGTAAAACAAATAAAAAAACAAAGGAAAGAAAGTGAAGTGAGAAAGTCGGTTTAGATCCAAATAACTAAATGGAGATTTGGAAATTCTGAAAACTTAAAAATGCTTAACACGTTAACTGCCAGGGTACTTATACCAAGTCCTGTGGGCCACGCAAGTTTTTTTAGGAAGTGGTTTATTAGTGACTAAAAATTACTAAGAAATATTCGCGATTTATTTTAGGTATGTCCGAAGCCAGCGGGGGACATACAGTGTGCTGCGAAGGGGCCACAAACTTCGAATCGATCGGCATGACTTTACCCGGAATGAAAACCAAAATACACAACGAAGAGGATGGCCAAGGGGAGATCTGCATGTACGGAAGACACGTGTTCATGGGATATCTAAACGAGCTGGCAAAGACTGAGGAAACGCTGGACGAAGACGGATGGTTGCACACAGGAGATTTGGGAAGGATAGACGAGAAAGGATTCGTGTATATTACAGGTGAAGAAACTTAAGCCGTTACAGTTTTATAACAACTGCTTGATTTTTAATTAAATCTTTCTAGGGGGATAGGGAGTTTAAATTTTTCAATATTTGAGATCAATTTCTTTTAAGGATAGTTTTAAAATAGTTCTATATTAGAGTGCGATAAGTTACTTTTTCCGCAAATTGATAGGAAGTTTTTACATTCCAAACAAATTTCTTAAAGAAATCTTGATTCTTTAGTTTGACAATTCAACATTAATACCTTTCTATAGTAACGTCAACCAATTTTTTTCGCGATTTTTTCAAAATTAATTAATATCTATCGAATTTTAAACGATTTGCGGAAAAATAGTATGTTTACCTCGTAGGAAAAGCCACATTCCTGGACTCTGTGTTGCTAAATCTTCACAGTCGTCCAGGAATGTTAGACTTTTCCTACTTGGTAAACAATATATTATTAGAGAATGATAGAGTATTAAAACCCATACTTTTAGTCGTCATGTATTAATTGATGTCTCGAAGACCCGGCACGTGCCACACCAAGACTGGCCTAAATTATTTTTAAAATGTATACCATTCTTACTTATTTCTTTTAGGCAGACAAAAAGAACTCCTGGTCACGGCCGGCGGGGAAAACATCCCGCCCGTTCACATCGAACAACAAGTCAAAGCGGAACTGCCGCACGTCAGCAACGCCTTCTTGATCGGCGACAAACGCAAATTCCTCTCCGTTCTTCTCACGCTGAAGACCGAAGTGGACGCACAAACGGGAGCGCCCACCGACGAGCTCATTCCGAGCGTCCAGCAGTGGCTCGCCTCGTTGGGCTGTCCCGCTCAAACGGTCAAGCAGGTGCTGGAAGCCGGTCCCGATAAGAGGCTCATGGACGTTCTGATGCAGGCTATCGAAAGGGTCAACAGTAAGGCGACGTCCAATGCGCAGACCATCAAGAAGATTTCGTTGTTGCCCGCCGATTTTTCTATTCCAACGGGAGAATTGGGTGAGTATGGGTGATTTTAAAATGCCGTTTGTAAGGTGTTTCTTTTTGCCTGTAAGAAAGTAATATTTACTCGGAAATACTTGGGCGCCAGTTTTATTCATGTGGGTAGTCTCAGATGGAGGTAAGAAAATTTCAGAGATCTAATTGATATTAGATTATTATTCTAAAAGATAGATAGATAATTTCTGGAAGATGAAGAGTTAAATAAGGTCAATTGCAATTATAAGCTAAACAGGTAAAATTAATACATATATCGCTTAGGAAAACTAATGACGAGTATGTAGTTGTATTTCCACGCTTATATCCTTCAGTTGGCTTTGAAACCCTGAACAAAATTAAAAAAAAAAGATTATGGAACGATAGCTAGGACAGATCAAACCAAATAAACAACAAAAATAAAAAAAGGGACGTAAGTCAAAAATGAAAAACGATACTATTTGAAAATTTCAAGAAAAATCAAGCTATCCTATAAGGGGACGAAGCATATTGATTTTGAGAAAAAATTGAATAAATTTAGGGAGGTTTAGTGGGGTTAAGGGGGGTAGAAATAGTAAAAAAAATCCTAACTTAAAAATAAAATGATATTGACTTAAAATGTTTAATAAAAATCAAGCTCTATAAGGGAACAACGCCTATTGAATTTGAAAAAAATCTAATTACACATGGGGGCTTAAGGTAAATGTTAGTAAAAATCATGCTCTATAAGAAGATAAAGCCTATTGATTCTGAAAAAATCTGAATTAAAATGGGGGGTTGAAAAAACAAAAAAGATATCAATTTAAAATTTTTAGTAAAAAGCTCTACAAAAGATTGAAGCCTATTGATTTTGAAAAAAATAATCGATTAGCTAAAATAATCGATTAACCGAAAAAAATAGATTTGAAAATAATCGATTAATCAAAAATAATCGAATAATTGACTAATTAAAAATAATCGAATAACCGAAAAGAATAAATTATTTGAAAATAATGGATTAATCGAAACAATCGATTAATCTAAAATAATTAATCGAAACTGATCTATTAATCTAAAATAATTATTCGAAACTGATCTATTAATCTAAAATAATTGATGAATCGAAAAAATATATCGATTAATCGAAAATAATGAATTAATGGAAAATAATCGAATAATTGACTAATTATAAATAATCGAATAACCGAAAAGAATAAATTATTTGAAAATAATCGATTAATAGAAAGAAATCGATTAATCTAAAATATTGAATCGAAAGTAATATATTAATCTAAAATAATAGATTTATCGAAAAAATAGATTAATCGAAAATAATAGATTAATCTAAAATAATCAATTAACCGAAAATAATCGAATTATCTAAAAAATCGATTGTTAGATTTTTATTTCTTTTAAGCAAGCTTTAATTTAACTTCATCCCAAGATTTCCCAGTCACACCAAAGGCCAGTATCATCGGCATAACATAAAAGTTTTCCTTTAAAGTGGTTTATTTTCGAGATGCTATTTATGTAAATTAGAAATAGAGTTGGACCCAATACTATCCCTTGTGGTAATCCTATTTGTTAAATAGTACTATCCCTCTATTGCCATAGTTAAGGTCGAAGGCCTTTACCAGATCAAGAAAAACTGCTAGGTATTTACTTGATTTGTCCAAGGCCCTGAATATAGGTTCAAGTAAGTTTAAGTCCGAAACGAAAGTAGTATCTGTATCTGTAACGTGTGGAGGGAGGGTTGCTCCCGCGGCACTTAGACCTCATTAGGACCATTGTGCTTCCTCCTGAGATGATATGCACCTCCTAGGTAGCGAACCAGCCTTCAGATTTAATGTAGTTGATAACGTCGCCAATAGATGCTTCTCTTATATCTGCCGGTGTTAGCCGATACTCGCCGAACACAAATCTTTTAATAAATGAGAGCGCCGAGCAATCGTAAAGGATATACTCGATGGTCTCATCTTCTTGTTCGCACCCTCTACAGAGTGCGGATTCTGACAGCCCCATAATTTGAAGATGCTTTCATACTTAGCAGTGACCAGTCAGAATGCCTGTGACTAGGCGCAGATTCTATCTAGTCATATTCAAGTATTTGTTTGCTGCATTGTTGTCAGGATAACTTAAGAGCTCCCAGGCAACTCTGCAGTTTCTTATTTCATCCCATCTTTCCTTGAATTTCACAAGGGAATGGTCTTTGACTCTCTCTAGTCACTACCAATTTTGTCAGGCCAATAGAAGGACCAGGTCCAAAAAGAATTTGGTTGGCTGTTTTCTTGGCTAGTAAATCAGCAAGACGGTTACCTTTCGATGTGGTGTGACCTTCAATCCATCTTAAGGTGGCCACATTGTTGACGGATACTTCGGCCAGAGCTTCGTGACATTCTAGTACTAACCCTGAGTAAATTCATGGTCTGTTCAGGGTGAGTAGTGCTTGTCTGCTATTTGTATAGATGAGCATGTTCCTTCCAATGATATTGTTCCTGGTTATTTCTTTTGGTGCTATGAGAATTCCCGTTAGCTCTGTTTGAACTACACTGGCACTATTGCTCACAGCCCATTTTATGTTTAGGTTTAAGAATCTGTAGTATATTCCACATCCTTAGCCTTGTTTTGTTTTAGAACTGTTGGTGTAGATATGAATTGTACCTACCACTTCTGGATCTTCCATTTGTTTTACTATAACTTTATATGGCTTATGGAAGATATATCTCGGTGAGATAGAGTCCATGTTCGCTTTGAAGCAGTGGGAGCGTATCGAGCGCCTCCTGCCAAAAGCGACGTCTCGCCTCATCAGATCCTACATCAGGTTCTATTCAAATCGTGCAGAGGCGTGTCATTGTCGTAAGAGCAACCTCCTTGATGTAAATATCAAGGGGAGTGAGACTAAGAATGACTTCCATGGTTCTGGTCGGTGTTTTCATGGCTCCTGTTATGTTGAGACATGCTGTTCTTTGAATTTGTTCTAGTTTACGGATAGCTGTTAATTTTTGGGTTTTTGGTACCCAGGCAACTGCACCGTATGTTAGCATAGGTCTTATGATAGCCGTGTAAGTCCATGTGAGGACTCTGAGGGAGAAACCACAGGTGCGCCCCACGGTTCGGCGGCATTGTTTATAAGCAGTGTAGGCTCTTTTAACTCTGTTTTCTAAATGCGAGTTCCATGTTAACTTGCTGTCAAAGGTGAGGCCTAAGTACTTCACCTCTGTTGCAAAGTTTAGTTTTGTGTTTAGGAGTTCTGGAGGTTTTAATTCCATTTTCATCCTTTTCCTTGTGAAAAGAGCCATTTTTGTCTTCTTAGGATTGATAGACAGTGAATGGTCCTTGCACCACTGATAATTTTTAGAGCTACTTGCATTTTTTCACAGAGTATGTTCTCAAAATGCCCTGTTTGCAGAATGACCAGGTTATCTGCATATGCTATTGTGCAGTGACTGTCATTATTGGGGCGGTTGATGAGGGTGTCGAGGACCATATTCCACAGTAGAGGTGATAGCACCCCTTCCTGTGGACATCCCCTCGCAATCAAATCTCTTATATTCACATCTTTTACACTTATGTTTACTGCTCGCTTTAAGAGCATGTCCTGTATTCACCAACTAACCATTTGAGGAACATTCTTGTTGGTTAGTGAGTGTATTATCTTTGGGAAGGTGGTTTTATCAAAAGCACCTTTATGTCTATGAAAACACCCAAGGCGGACTCCTTATTGTCCAGGGATCTTCCTATCTGGCCAGCAACTAGATGAAGGGCTGAATCAGTAGATCTGCCTGAAGTGTATACATGTTGGTTTGGGTGTACTAAAGTAGTAGTATCGATATGGGTAAATTATCGAAAGCAAAGTATCGAGTACTAAATTAACCGGTATCGAAAGAAAAGTATCATATCAGTAGTATCGCAACGTCCCTACCCGTAAAATATCTCCACGATACACTTGTGTAGATCATTTACTAGTTTCAGATTTTATTTTCTTTCTCTTAGACCGTAACTGACAGGTCTTTAGTATTTGTGGGTTAGATTAGATTCGAAAGAAGTTGGACATTATTTCTCCTCGTTTCAGATCTATTGTGGGACGTTTTTTAGAGTACCTATGTCATCTAGCGTGGTCTTTTCTTATTAGAATTCGTAGCTTTATAAAGGATTGTTTATTTTTTGCTAGTATAAAAATATGTGGGCGGGCGTACAATAGCCCAATGATTCTGGTTTGGTGACAATAATTAGCTCTATGCTGGGACAATTGGATTATATATAATTTTCTGCTACTGACATAAATTTACTGTATTGAAATTTGTTTTTATTCTGTTTAGGTCCAACGATGAAAGTAAAAAGAAGAATCGTGGAGCAGAAGTACGAAGACATCATAGAAAAAATGTACTTATAAACTTAGTTGTTATTCATTTTCGTTACATTGTTATATAAATTAAAAAGCATATATTTTTATTAAAAAAAATAGTTAAGAAAAAGAGGTAAATACTTGGAATTCTAATGGATTAGAATTGAATTTGTATATTTTTTGTACTTGTAAGCCTTAAACATTGATTATGAAATACTTAAATATATTATGATATTTACTTGTTAAAAGGTGTTGTATATTTCTTGTTTTTTTTTTTTTTTTTTTTTTTTTTTTTTTTTTTTTTTTTGATTGTATCTTTACTAGTTGTTAGGAATTACGTCCAACATATTTCATTAATATATCTAGCAGAAGTTTCGAGAAAATTTTTTGCAAAGTATTCATGTCAGCCCAGCGCTCTGTCTCTCGAACATACAAACTACAAAATAAATTTAAATAAATACTATAGTTAGAAAAGTCCTAAGTAACACAAAAAGTTATATAAGGGTTATACTGACGTTGCAACAACTTTTCTTAAAATTCAACAACTTACATATTCTAATACACTATACCGTTATTATACATTATTATGCGACTTTTGGTGGATATATACAACCTAATAGTATACGTTTTAAAGTGGTTGCTATAACTCCAGTTATAAGTAACATAACTTTATAAAAAGATAATGTTATTAGGTAATTACAAATGGATATAAAAACATTGTTAAGAGTTGTTATGATATAATGTAGATTTATCTATAGATTATTATTTATATATCTAAAGATTAATAGATATAAACATTTTAGAGTCACTTCTTACAAAATGACAACATAAATATCTCGTTTATGGCAACTGAGTAAACCTTAATATCTGTACCTCAGAACCAGACGGACGTAAGTCATTTAGCACACTTTCTAGGAAACCAATAAAAGTAAAAATAATAATTTAATCGCTAAGCCACAAAGCTAGTGTTTTAATAAGCATCTTAAAATTGATCGACAACATTGAAAGGGAACGTGAAGGTTCGATCAAAACAATCCGCTTTAAAATGGTGTGAACACAAAAAATTAACAGATGTTGGCTCACAATTTGTTTATTGCATGAACTCAAGCCATAACTTTCTTTTTTGAGAAACTTTGGGAAAACCTTTTCCCTAGGTCAGGGCGAATAAATGAAAACTAAATAATTTATAGTAATAAAGATTGAAAATATTAATATATTAAGTTTTATTGTCAGCCATAGTTTTAAACCAAAAATGAAAATAAGCTGAAATTATTAAAATTTAACATTAATCGACTCTCCTGGGTAAAATAGTACTTATCTATTTATTCAGCTCTGTTCCGTCTATTTTTTTGATTGTAGCCTCCTTCTGACACTTGCATTCACAAAGCACATAGAGGTTCCACGTGAATGACCAAGGTCAACTGACATTGTTTATGCTACTTGCTCCAAACTCTAGATGGGGCTACTGGTGAAATTATGATTTCCTACTCCATTTTTAAGCTTTATGGGAGAAAAACTTAACCAAAGAATCCAAATATATGACGTGTATTTTATTTATGTTTTTGGGTAGTCTCATTTTTTCGTCTGATTTTAGTGATTTATTGTTGGCTTTGGGTTTTGGTTTCTGTTTATAGTTTCGTCTTAGTTATTTGCAAAATTGTGATGTTTTGCTTTTCTATTTCCTACTGTGTTTTGCAATAATTTTGGTGCTATGTTGAAAACTTCGAGAAAAACTTCATTGATTCACCATGCATCATAAAAAGACAAAACGGGTACAACAACTAATTGATAATCAATTTATAACTGGAGTGGATTCCGAAATCATTTTTCACATAAGAGAGTAATACCACCATCTGTATTTAGAAGGAAAATACCTATTTATCATTGAATGAATAGTTAAAAGGATTCACCTTTTAATACAATACCTATATTACATTTGTCCTCGGTTAAAAAGACATTTATAAATTATATCACTTTAGTGTTAATAATAAAATGTAATATCCTAGTCTCTACTTCACATTTAAATTATTGATAGGTATTTTAAAGATTTGCTCCAAGTAAGTATTCGTTAAATATATGCATTATTATTATTTATATTTATTTTTATCTAATAATATTTATTCCAGTTATTAATAAACATATTAAGAATGTTCTATTTTATTATTTATTGATATATCTTATATTTATTTAATAATAATAATAATAATAATATGCAAAACCAACTCTCCACATCAGACCCCTTATAACAAATTAATTCCTCAAATTTGGTATAATCGACCTAAATTATTTTGTAAAATAAAAGTCTCGAACTTACTAGTTCCATACTTTATTTTATAAAATAATTTATGTGGAAATCATTTAAAATTTAATTTAAAACTACTACCTACTCCTAAAATTTACAATTTGAATTTACCGCCATCTGTCAATTGTCATTTTAGTTCCTGCTCCAAACTCAAGGTAGCGCTAATTTGGTTTAAAAGTTTAACATTGGCGTGGGGTCTCTAGAAGATACGTGCTTTGTTGCATTCGTTCTTATTCAGTGTAGTATGCGTGGTTTTCAGAATATTAAGTGTTATACCTATATGCATTGGGATTCTCATCTTTGAATTCGGCACGTGTTGACACGACTATCTTCGTTCTACAGAAAGCGATTCGTATGTAATGTCTCTATTTGATTCGTTACGTGTTGAATACGCACATAAGAATCCTTGTCCTAATGCTGGATCCTGCAAAGTTTATCTTTAGTACAGCTGCTTATCTGACATCTATATTTATTAGTAGGAATATGATATCTAAAAATATATTAATACATAATACAAACTGAAAGTAGCAATAGTTAAAAAATGGTTTAATGGCTCCACTATACATCAGAATACAGAAAATCTCGATGTCAATCTTGATTCAACATCCGTTTCTTGCCTATTAGTCTTATACTTAACCAGAGGTTGCTTTTGGCCGCAAATGTCTAATTCGGCCAAAATACAGCCTCGGTATAGTGGAAGTAAAAGTTGGAAAGGCTTTTGCCAGTTCTCCCACTTTATACACATAAATTGACAGGTTTGCGGCGGATCTCACCGAAGTGGACGCGATACATTGGCGTACAAAATTATTTTATAAATGTTTATAACAATTTCGAGTAAATAGTTTAATAAATTGTGAATAGCTGTTGAAATTTTGTAAAATTATGATTTAAATATTAAATTACATGTTTAATAATTATTTATAGTCCATAAATACATGCGATTGTCCGGTTCCGCCGATAACAATTTAAAATTACTTATTCTATGAAACGACACTGGCAGGTAAACATTACTGCGAAATTCTCGAAGCCGTCCGACGTGGTTTGACGTTTACCTACCAAAAGCCTTTCAAACTTTTACTTTCGCTATACACTAATATCTAGTTTACTGCTGGTTACATTATTACAATGATCGATTGTTTAATACGAAAAACTCTAGTAAAGTGTAAAATTACCTCTTGCCCAGAACACTCGTATACAGTTTATTATTTTCTATTCATATGGCTTATATCGAACCTGTATGTACTCGAGTAGCTAATAGTGTTGCCGTCAGTTGCCACCACATATTCATTAGAGGCACGTTTTCACATACTTTGACTTTCTTTTACCACGTTTTACTAAACACACCGTGTTACGTATTTGTTGACATTAGGAGATAGAAATGTTAAGCCAGGTCTCGTATTATTTCGAATAAAAAATTGATAATACGAAATTTTCTAAGTTAAATCGTGATAATCCCGAACTAGATTTAATTTTGGTCTTAAAGGTCAGTTTTTACTTAAGTAGGACATTACTACCAGCCTCCAGTAATTCAGCATAATTTATATCTTGTTTTTAATAACGTAGAAGCCCTCATTTTACATTTAAAATGGAAAAGTAAGTACGACTATAGCTATTTATACATGTAAGATTTATGTTTAGTATCAACATGTACGAGTACTTTGTTTTATTTATAGATTTATCATAAAAAAAACTAATTGGAAACATGTAATTCATTCATCCTAACTAAGCAGATATTGAATGAAAATAACTGTTACAATTTTGAGCCGAATGATGCTTTGTTAAATTATAATGTAAATGAAAATGATAATTTACAATGTACACAAGATTTGACATTTTAAACATTTATTCACATGTGTATACATTATTACTTTCTAACTTATTTTTGTTTGAAATAAATGTTTATTTTTAAAATTTTGGTTTAAATTTATTTTTAGTTCTGGTACATTTTACTTTAAAATATCTATTATGATTTTATTACCTTTTGAAAAAATTAATTGGTGTGGCAACACTGATACCTAGATAAATAAAATAATTAAGTACCTACATGGTACCTACTTATACCTACTTATTTTATCCACAATTATAGTATGTTTCGTATCGCTTGACAAACGTAGAGTTGAAAAGATTTAAAAGCAATATAATATTTCAGGAAAACAATCATTGGTGCGAAAAGTTTATAAATAAAATAAGAAAATGTTGTATTTCTGTAGGTGAGTAATATTTTTCTCTATAAATTTATTTATACATTTTTAAAAGAACATTTAAATACATAAATGTTATAGGTACAAGTACCTATATATTTACACCGTGGATTCTTATACAGGGTGTTGTAAATAAGTGCAAAAGATTTTAGAGGGTAGTTGCCAAATGCCAAAGTTATTTTGTTAAAAAAAGTTAACGGGAAAAGAAAAGTCGTAGGGCGGGTATGTACTAACGCACTTGCTGATGCGTCATATTTGTAAAAATTCAAAGATTTAATATATTGCCATGTTGTAATATTTAGGAAAAGGTACTTTATAGCAAGGGTGGTCTTGAATGCTATGTATTTCGTAAGTTCAAAGAGCCCTTTTTATTTTTGGAAGGTATTAAAACCGTTAAAACTTAGTGGCATTGGTTTATTACACATTTCAAATTAACTAACAAAGAAAAGTAGTTAAATCATTGAATATAAAAGGCAAAAAACACAAAATATGGTAAGCATTGCTTTTTCAGCAAGCATCGACTAGAGTCTTAGAAACCGCGGCTAAACAGGAATGCGTTTAGAAACCTCGTACCGCTCGTATGGCGCGTCTGGACCCTATTCTAATGTATGTGGTCAGATGCGCCGTGCGAGGTTGCTAAACGCAACATTGTTTGTCTCTTTCGATTGCAATATCAATCCGGTAGAAATTAGGAATGATGTCCAAGCTTCCATGGGTAGGCAACTTTATATACACATGTGTGTATCGAGTTGTCATAGTGGTAGGGTGTTACAACATAATTTCACAACCGAATATTCATTTTGCATTGATTTTAATAAATGTGTTCTAGTTTTATTTGTATTACTTATAATTAATGAGTACTTTTTTATTGTAAATATTGCTCATCATTAAAATGAGTGGAAGAGGTGAATTATTTATTTCAGATGGTTAAAGGGTGTACAATAATAACCAAATAAATGGTGGCGTCTATGAATATCAAGTCATTGTATCTATATGAATAATATTTATTCTTTATTAGGTCAATTATTATTGGTTTTCATTTATATTATTCAATAAGTTTTTCAATTCGTCTTTTATTTGTATAGCTATACAGTATTAGAAACTAAAAATTATGGTGTGGAATGGAATACTTTCAGTAACTAATAAACATTTTTAAAATTTATTTATTTTATATTTATTCATTAATATTATATTAATTACAAACTGGCAACATTGCATCGATAAATCGCAGAAACTGTCATGCGCGGCCAGCACATACCTTTCATACAACTTTCCCGGGAAAAAAAGAGTGGCGCACTATTTTTTTTTTATTAAAAAAGTGGCATTCTCGTACGAACGCTACTGGTGCAAGTAGACATATTTGGACCATTTCAAAAATGTGTAGCAGGGGCAGAAGTTGGAAAGGCTTTTGGTAGGTAGAAAGGGGGTAAAAGTCAAACCACGTAGGAGGGCATTAAGCTATTAATAACAAAAACAATCATTATATAATGGCGTATAAAGAACTTAAGAAAATTTAGTAGTAATTAAAACGTAAAAGTGTTGTTTCATTTTAAGCCATTTTACCTCGAATTTATTAGAATATTATAAAAAAAAATAAACTACTACAACTAACCATATACCTGTCTTACGCTATGACACTGATTTATTTACATTGTTCGAGTATAGTGTTAGAAGTTAAAAGAATTAACTTCAATATTATTGTTTTAAAATGATTTATCACCCTGTATACTATAACACCCTGTATACCCACTTCACAAAACACGTGTTAACATGGTTTTATAATGTTTTATTAAATATCTTGTAAACAATGTTTGAAATGTAATTAATTAAGGAACAAAATAAAGAATGTCTTTAACGGCATATTGCCTATCACTTCCTAGCGTTCGGCTGGTCGAAAGTCAAGTCCCCGCTCTCCTGGTCCTGGGCACTGCAACGGGCAGACGTGGTACCGTCGACCTCAGTGGCGGCGATATCCTAATTCGCTGACAATAGTATCTTTTTTTTCTACGTATTACATTAAATATAGTACATTACTCTTGACATAGTGATTCTGAGAAGCGTACTCTTCTTTGTTATGTCTTTATTATTTTCTTTATTTTATTTCGTTCTTATTATTTATACAAATAAAAGAATATAATTATTTTACTTCCAGCAAAATGAAAGCCGATGATACAGAAGGATTATCGAAACAATATTATGACGATCCGTGTTTTTTTGTAGACATTTACAACGTTGGAAGAGGATTCATTAGATGTGCAAACGAAAATAACAATCGACCCCACATTACATCCACCTTAGAATTGAAAATGTGGAGAATTCTCGAAGAAAATCTAATACCTATAAACCCCGCTGGTATTTTTTATAATAGCGAAAGTTATTTAATACAGTGGACTTTTGAATACGATGTGTACAGTGAATTAAAGATTGGTCAAGTGTTTTTTTATTGGAGAGGCTCCACTGCAAAAAAAGGTTTATCACCTTTACCAGAAAACTTTGATAATGATACTTCAGTAGTTGTGCGCCTAGTACAATGGAGTGAACCAGCAGTATTTTTTCATATTTTTCCAAAACCAATTGTAGTTTTAGATGCAAAGTTTGATTGCTTTAACCCCGATTCACCGCATTTGTTTTTAATACGAGGTGAGCAGCAGAACGAACTTCATCTCATCGAAGTGCCATTTTTAAAGAAAAACTTTAGAAGTAGAGGAGTGTTTTTAGTAGTAATACCTAGTAAAAGTTCTATTTTTCGTTGGAAAGGTTCTAAAATTGCTGCAGAACTAGAATTAACTGTCAAAATGTTGAATTTCAGAGATATTTTAATGGACTATGTGAAATCTTGGAGCAATTTTCAAGTTTTGGAGGTCGAAGAAGGAGATTCCAGTTATTTTTTCGAAGGAGATGATAGTGAATATTTTCATGTTAAAGTAGATTGTAATTTTTCACCAAAATTGTATTATTTGAGCACGATTACTGGTGAATTCTCGGCTGTGGAAGTAGAATATCCTTTAAGGAAGGAAAATTCTGTAGCGGCTTTTCCATTTTTGCAGTCACATTTAAGCACGTCGGATGAAACAGGTAATATTTTGGCTTTAAGAGCGTACGTATACTTTTTCGGGTACAGGAGTTTTAATGCTATACTGTTTCCCAAATCATGAAAATACTAAAGAATATTTTTAACAAATTTTAAAAAGTGTGTTAATATCTAGAGAAGAACTTGCTTGATAACATCGTAGTTCTTTTTGTATGGAAATAAGAGAGCAGTTAAAAACTGAAAATAATAACATATTTACATTTCATAAAAATGAGAAGAAAAATCACCGTAAACCGATTTCTAAAAGGTCTATTAGTTTTTTTAGGAAATGGAAAGAGAAACGACGCTTTTAAATCAAGTTAAAATTCTTTACTAATTTCACTGTTTTTCTTCCACGATGACCGGTCCCCTTTTGTTTAAAAACGATAACTATAGACATTAAGATTTTGTTATTTCGAATTCGTACAGTGTAGTCATTTTAACCTGTAATTTTAAGAAACAAATCCTGGATTTTGTTTAGTTGTTTTAATGTTTCTTTTATTTTAGGATTATTTTTGTTAGATAACAATCATGAAATCTGGGTGGTACTGGATGCTTCTAAACCTAGTCATTTTGAGGATTTATCCAAGTTAGGAATGGAGACGGCTACAAACTATGCACAATTGCGTGAAAAGAGTCTTGGTGAAACTGTTCCTGTTAGACTCGTTAAAAGTGATACCGATCTTATCGATTTTACTAATATTTTTCCCTATTGGTCTTAAAATTAAATAATGTGTAAAACTTTTTTTTATATTTTATAGTTTATGATAAATTTATTGTTTGTTTATTAAGAGAACGCTCTTATGTACTAAAATTAAAACTAATTCCAAGTTTCCAGGCCTATTTTTTTAATATTTTTTTATGAAATTTGGCATGCATATTTATGTAGTCATGCACAATGGCGCTATGGGGTTCAAATTTTGATATATGTAAAAAAGCATTTTTAATATATCTGTGAAATACCAGTCCAAAGAATTAGGTTTATCGTAGAGCAAAACTTTATTAAAATTCTTACAATTCAAAAAATGTGACATTCATTTATACCGATTCATCCATTGTACTAGGAACATGGTAAACATGATGACCAATTGACTCTTGTCCGCAACTGTCACTCAAATTTTGTGCTTTTATCGCGGGCGAAAAGTATTTCTTTAGATTTAAAATGAATGTTTACGAAATTGCTTGGGTTTTTTGGGTTTCAATGTAAATTATTATAAAAATAGAAAACACAACCAGATTGCAATGTTACTCTTTATGAAGAAATCGTTGTTCGTTAGAATTCATTTGTTAAATGGTATGACCAGTGGATCAGCAAAAGAACTTTTTAATAATTACAAAATTCCGACTAACGGTGAAAAATTTAGGCATAAGTCTGTCAATTATTCTCATTCATTTTTTAGCTAGTAAGTAGTTATAAAATTGTTTACATAAACAATTATTCAGAAAATCACCTTCTCTTACTCTGAACATCTACAATGTAATTATATCAAGGACAAGCGAAGGAAAATTAAAAAATTAATCGACTTACGTTAAGGAAGATTAATTGTAATTTTCCGAGCTTGTCCGTAGATATAATTATTTCCCGTCCCACCCTAATATATGTGGATGCATATTTAGTTCCCAGATATAAGGTGATTTTCGTAACACGTACTTCAACGTAATGATATGCAGGTTTGGCATACGCTAGGAGCAGTGAATATGGAGAATTTTGTTTACTCTAGAAAAAATACGTGCTGATGAGAAGGTTTCAAGGAAACTACAATGTAATTATATCTACGGACAAGGTCGGAAAATTACAATTAATCTTCCTTAAGGTAAGTCGATTAATATTTTAATTTTATAACAACTTAATTTATTTATACGTCTCTTATAAATTGTTGTTACAACTATAGAAATATTGCTCAACATTTTCTAACAAAATCGTCGTACCATTAGTTTCTACACTATTAAAAAGTTATATATCAGTTTTAATAATTTAAGTTATTTAATGTGTCGTTTACGTGTGTTTTGTAACGTTTTAATCAATTATACCAACATTTTATAACTTTGTGTGTTACTTGGGAAAACATTATTACACAAAATTTTCGTGTAAACAAAAATTTTTTTAATGAATTTATCAAGTTTACATATTTTGTATTAAGATTAACGACAAATTGTGATACAAGGTTGTGATCTTTGATTAAATATTACAGATTTGGTTTAAACTGATACCACATTTTTGTTATAAGGTGGTTGTTTAAAGTAAAACTCAAAAACATTTTATATATATAGCATTTTATAAAAAAATAGTTTGCCGATAAATGTTCAGTTACTAAAATATTGTGAGGTAAGAATAAGCAGAAGTTTTTTTAGTTAAATCATTCAGTAATTTTTTTAACAAACTTTGCAAGTCCCTCTCATTTTGGTAGCTCACATATTAATTTTTATTTTATTTTCTTTTGCTCTAAAAAAATATGTGCTGCTCATAGAAAGATATTTTCTCTTACTTAACCTTATCTTTACTAATTTATTAATATTTGAATGAGTTATACTTTTTTTCAATATGAAAGTTTTGCAGTAAGAAATAATTGTAATAGTATTTAAAATAAATTGTTTTAATTTTACATCAATTCATTTTATAGAAGAAAAATAGTTCTAAAGTAGACCTTGGAAAAATTCACGTATGTCACCGTTTTGATTCTTTTTAAATGTCTTTGTACGGAAATGATTCGTTCGCTGTCTTTGTCGATCTTTGCTGGTCTTTGCCTAATTTTAGAAATATTTTTGCGTATCACTTTTTAGTAAAAAAATGTAGGGTAAAATTAAAACAAAACGAAATAAAAATCAAGTTTTTTTAGCAGAAAATATAAAATATCCACTATTTTTTCAACTATTGTAGGGTATAACATAATTTTTGTGGTTTTTTTTATAAAAAAGTATATTCATTTACTTAGTACACCGATACTCAATTTAGTACTGAAATAAGCTGCGAATTACTTCTTATTTGTCTTTTATCTAAGTCAAAATAAGACAGGCAGGCTATTTTTGATAATATATAGATTCCTTCACCTTTCAAAGTATTTTTAAAACATGATAAATACTATAAGAGTGAGTCCTAGATTGATATTGAGCATATTATAGCCAGGGGCGTGCCATGACATTTGGCCGCCCTTATGCAGAACTTAAATTTAGCCGCCCCTATTTCAAAATACTTTCGTCAAAAATTTAATTCAAGACATGACATAAAGTTAGTTAATATTGTTTTCATTTAAATATTTTTGAGTAATAGCAAAAATATTTAGGTGAAAGTTTGCATTTCACTAATAAAAACTACAATTTTAACAGTAATTTTTTAATTAACTGAACAAAACTAAAACATAAAATATTCTATTTATAATATGTATAACAAAAATAAAAATGTTATAACAATACAAAGTTGACATCTAATTGATCTAATACAATCGGATCAGTTAGTTTAACGTTAATGAATATACTACAAAATTATATTTATTTTTTGTTGCATTGTTGCTGCAAATTTACTAGCTGAATAATAAGTTTACATGACATGAATTTACTAGTTTAAAAAAGGATTGCCATTGTCCCTACTGTGAGAAATCATAGAAAAATCGTTTTTCTTGCTTTCTTTGCGGAAAAATCCCTAATCAATTCTTCCAAATTCAGGGAATCCATAATATCATTTTCTATGGCGATTATAGATAAATCATTGAGTCTATCTTGTAACATGGTAGATCTCAAATAATTTTTAATAATTTTTAGCTTAGAAAACGATCTTTTTCCCGAGGCTACTGATACGGGCAAAGTGAGTAAAAGTCTAAGGGCTATTGAAATATTTGGAAAACTTGACAATAATTGATTTTGAAATATAAACTCCAAAATGAACTTAGGATCTTGTTGAGAACCTTCTGAAGTTGAAGCTGATTCATACGAAAGCTTCCTGGGGCCACTTTTTTTATAAAAAAAATATATTATTATCTCGCAATTGTGACTTATTATCTCACAATTGCGACTTATTATCACGCAATTGTGACTTATTATCACGCAATTGCGACTTATTATCACGCAATTGTGACTTATTATCACGCAATTGTGACTTATTATCACGCAATTGTGACTTACTATCTCGCAATTGCGACTTATTATCACGCAATTGTGACTTATTATCACGCAATTGTGACTTACTATCTCGCAATTGCGACTTATTTTCACGCAATTGTGACTTATTATCACGCAATTGTGACTTACTATCTCGCAATTGCGACTTATTATCACGCAATTGTGACTTATTATCACGCAAATTTGACTTAATATCTCGCAATTGCGACTTATTATCACGCAATTGTGACTTATTATCACGCAATTGCGACTTATTATCACGCAATTGTGACTTATTATCACGCAATTGTGACTTATTATCACGCAATTGTGAGTTATTTTGGCGTTACATGTCTGCTTAAAATGGTGAGCTTTGGTCAATGTTTCGTGAAATAACAGTGAAGTGATTCTCCATTCTCGAGCTTGTAGTAGCTTCAGGTGAGTTTTGAGTTTAAACATATGTTTAATTCATTAAGTTGTTTTACAATTTTAACCATCTTTTAAGATATTTGCAACACTAGACGATGGATTCAAGATCAAGAAATAATCTTATTATGCACTATTTTTTTAAATGGATGTAATTATAGTGAAATTCGAAACATACTGAAAAAGAGATTTTCAACAAATATATCAAAACGACAACTAAAGAGGATTTTAAACAAAAACAAGTTGTTTAGAAAAAAATATTTCAGTGGAGCTAATATTTTAGTAAATTTTATAGACCATCAGTTACAAAATTCTTCCCAACTCCATGGCTATAGATGGATGCATTTGAAATGCATTCAAAATGGTTTCTCTGTTTCGCAGAATATGGTTCGTTTAATATTACAAAACTTGAATCCTTCTGGAGTAGAACTAAGAACAAGACGAAGACTGCATAAAAGGCAATATAATAATACTGGTCCCAATTTTTTATGGCATCTTGACTCAATGGTATATGAATAAATAGCGCTATTGATGGATACTCGAGGTTTATCATTTGGTTGAAAGCATCTTCAAATATGAATGATCCAAAAATAATTGCAGGTGGGTAAAAAGGAACACTAGGAAAAATGGTATATATTTTTCAGTAATTACTGGATGCAATTATTGTTTTCGGGTTTTTTCTTAAGAATATTGAAAAATATGGTGGTGTGTCCAAGAAAAATTAGATCCGATATGGGTACTGAAAATGGAACTGTAGAACAGATGCAAAAATTTTTGAGAAGAACTGCTGTTAAAAATGAAGATCAATTTTTAGATGATAATAGTTTTATCTATGGAACCAGTCAGTGTAATCAACGCATCGAGTCTTGGTGGGGTATACTAAGGAAACACTGTTCGCAATATTGGATGAACTTATTAATATGCAATAAAGTAATACACATAACTAATTTGGTTTTTTTTAATGATAATTTTTTATTTTACATAGGTATTTTTAAAATTTATAAAAAACCAACATTATGTAGGCAGTTGTTCAAAAGAAAACCATCCAAATTTTTGATTACTATTGTATATTTCCTATTGAAGTTAAATTTCTGAAAATATGTCGTATATAAATAAAGAATATCTTATATTATTTCATTTGTAAGGACCACTATAGTTGTAAAAACAAAATTGTTACAATCATAGCAATTTAAACAAAATGCAACTTGATTCACTGTGAAGCACTGCTGTTATACAGTCAACCACATCTAGTGAAACAGATAACTTAATAAAATACTAGTATTGAAACCGTGACAAGTTACTAAAAAAAAAAAAAAAAAAAAAAAAAAAAAATCAGTCTTAAAACGAAAAAATTTTTGTGAGTAATGCATTTTTAGGCCAAATAGAAACATAAGATACTAACGAGAAATACTGGCAATGACACGTAGGTACGCCTCAAACTGTAGTATTTTTAATTTGGTTGATTAAGGGGATTGGTTACTGTTGAACAATTAATTGATTCTACCGAAGTATAATAGTGTTAATCTCAGTATTTTTAATCTCCTGTCATACAAAAATAAATGGTAAAAAATACTGATTTTAGTAGTACATACACCAAATTATAAAATAAACAAAAATAGAAACATCACATTAAAGAAAAAAGAACAAATAAAAGAATATTTCCTTCGCAAAAATAAAACATAATTTTGTATTATTACATTCAGAAACTAAGCAATTTCAACATTGCAAAAGTTGGCATTGAGAATAGAATTAAATATCGTCGTTACATTCTGGTAGATACTCCTTCAAATATTCAATTGTATTTATCATTTCTTTTGTAAGTGTATTAGTTAGACACAAAATGTCAGTTATGTTTCTAAAATTGCGAGATAGTAAGCCACAATTGCGTGATAATAAGTTACAATTGCGTGATAGTAAGTCACAATTGCGTGATAATAAGTCACAATTGCGTGATAATAAGTCGCAATTGCGAGATAGTAAGTCACAATTGCGTGATAATAAGTCACAATTGCGTGAAAATAAGTCGCAATTGCGAGATAGTAAGTCACAATTGCGTGATAATAAGTCACAATTGCGTGAAAATAAGTCGCAATTGCGAGATAGTAAGTCACAATTGCGTGATAATAAGTCACAATTGCGTGATAATAAGTCGCAATTGCGAGATAGTAAGTCACAATTGCGTGATAATAAGTCACAATTGCGTGATAATAAGTTGCAATTACGAGATAGTAAGTCACAATTGCGTGATAATAAGTCACAATTGCGTGATAATAAGTCGCAATTGCGAGATAGTAAGTCACAATTGCGTGATAATAAGTCACAATTGCGTGATAATAAGTCGCAATTGCGAGATAGTAAGTCACAATTGCGTGATAATAAGTAACAATTGCGTGATAATAACTCACAATTGCGAGATAATATGTCGCAATTGTGAGATAATAAGTGACAATTGCGAGATAATAATATTTTTTTTTTATAAAAAAAGTGGCCCCAGGAAGCTTTCGTAGATTCAAAGTAAATCTTGAGTGTTTTAATTTCTTCATATAAATCAGATGCATCAATATCAAATTCGTTACGAGAATCATCCGTCAAAAGAGAATTCAAATGTTTACATAATTTTAACAATATCTCATTTGTTAAGGTGAACATATTATACATAAATCCAAACACTTTGAAATGAGTTTTTGCATCGGTTATAGGCTCATCATCATGTTCATAATCAAATTGTTTCGTTTTTTTTCTTCGTCGAATAGTCTGAGAAAGTGGAAAGTTTGATTCAACTTCTAGATCTTCAGCAAGTTCGTGAACGTCAACAAAGAAGTTTATTAAAACCTTCATCTAATCTCAATGTCGAAAAATAATTTATTAAATTATTTAAATAATCTATATTAATTTTTATATTTATTTCCGGATTTTGCAAAGTTTTGCTAATCGAATCTATTTTGAACAAAATTTAAGGTATGTGCTGAACAAGGTACAAAAAACGCTCTAGGATTTAAGTTTAATATTTTTTTTTGCAATCCATTATGAATTCCCCGCATATTTGCACCGTTATCATAACCTTGTCCACGCATGTCATAAAAATTTAAATTAATTTCTGTAATAAGTTTATTAAATATTTACTCAAACCTTCTCCGGTTGAATCTGTTATAGGACAAAATTCTATAAAATGCTCACGCAATTCAACTTTTCTTGTTGATTCGTTTAAATTTACAAATCTAATAATGAGACTCATTTGTTCAACATGGCTTACATCCGGCGTACAATCAAGCATAATTGAATAGTATTTATTTTTTCTAACTAAATCCAAAATATTTTTTCGAATTTTAGAACTAATTAAACCTAGAAGTTCATTTTGAATTTTATTTCCTAAATAGTTAGGCATTGTTTTGCCACTTTTTTGGGCTTTTTGTGTTCGGCTAACATGTACTTGCATTACAGAGTCAAATTTTGCAATCATTTTAATAGCTTTAAGGAAGTTACCATTATTATTTTCATATAATTTATTACACGGACCACGTAAAGCAAGGCATTGCCTAGATAAAAACTATATAACACAAATAATTCATTCAATAACACCATACCAATATTTTTTTTTCTACTTCAATTAAACGTAACTCTTTTTGATTTATCGTACATTGTTTGGATAACATATTTAACAAATTAAACCAAGATTTGACGTTCTCGTTATGAAAAACACCTTTTTCGTGTCTTGATAAAATTTGTGTCAAATGTTGCCAATCAGAACATCCCTGTTTACAAGATAAATTTGTTGTTGAACTAGAACTAGAGATTTTGCCAAAGATTTTACAGCAAAAGCAGTAAATCGAATTTTTAGATTCAGAATAGATTAACCACCTCCTTTTAGTTTTTTCGCCGTTTGGAAGTTGACAGTAATAATAATTTTTACAAAACTTACGCCCACCTTCACTTATTGGAAAGTTCTCAAGAATTACTTGAGAGGGTCCTTTTTCAACTAAAGTTCTTGCAGAGTCAGCAGTTATAATGTCTGGCCATTCCCCAGGATCTTCAGATAACATTGATAACAAAATATCTTCGGCTTCGTCCAAATTCATTTGCATGGTATTATAAAAGTTAAACATTGGTTGCTTGAGCTCAACGTATTTTTAGCAACCTAACCTAATAGATATTTATATGAAGAAATTATCTGAAATAACATTCCACAACTAAATATAGAACATAGTAAACAATGTGCAGGGCCGTATTTGAGATATTAATTGTGCTTAGAGTGAGTGTTGTAACCATATTAGGGTTTTGCAAAGATCAGAGATTCACAGGCTTGGCTTGTGTTTTAAAAGCTTGGCATTAGCTTGGCTTGAAATCAAGCCAAACCTTAAAAAATACCAAGCCAAGCCTAACATTTTTTTTTCAAGCCAAGTCAAGCTTTTTATAAAAAAAAGCTTGAACTACCAAGCTTTTTCAAGCCAAGATTTCATGCTTGTTCAAGCTTTCAAGCTTTTGAAGAAATTATTTACATTAACTGTTTACAATAATCTACAAAATTTATTTAAAGTGACTACTAAATAATCCATATAATATTCTACAAGGAAATTCTTAAGATGTGCGTTGAATAGAAAGAGGTAATTTAGGTATAAAGTCTTATCATTATCGATCTTTATTTATGTCTTACATATATTTCTGTATCAGTACAAACTTATAACAGAGCTAGCACTAATTGGATTTGGATTAGGATTAAATTTTTTCTCCCGCGGAAAGGCTTTTTCATAAGAATCCTTATGTTTACTTTGTAAATGTCTTTTTAAAAACTTAGTTGCCCCATTTTTCATTTTAATTATTGTTGATTTTCTTGTACACAAAGTGCATACTGCTGTTTTGTCTGTTTTGCTCTGTTCTTAACTAATTTAAAAAAAATTAGAGACCTTCATGTTTTTAATTGTTTTTCGGGACCTAATTCGAATATGTTCTTCGCGAGGTTTGCTAGAAAACAATACATCTGCTACCTCTACCACATATGAAAGGGTTTCTCGATATCTGTTATATTGGTGGCGCTAACATTTGTAAAATATTTGCTTCGTAAGGCTAGCAGTGACTGAATTGAGAAAACGGTTAGTAGAGTCAACACGTGATCGGCAAGGTGGGGGGGGAAGCTTGAAAGCTTGATAAAGCTTGGTAAAGCTTGATAAAGCTTGGTAAACATAAAAATCAAGCTAAGCCAAGCTTTTTGTTTTAAAAAAGCTTAATTTTCAAGCTAAGCCAAATTTTTTGTTTTTAAGCCAAGCTACTTGGCTTAGTGAAACACTGGAAAGATGAATTAAAAATGAGAGAATTTAATGCAAAAATTAGATTTAAAATAATCATAAATATTCTCTTTGTTATCTTAAATTTTAGAAATTTACTTCAGTTTCATTATAAAAAGCATTTGTCTTTAAAAAAATTATGAAGGCATGAAAACTTTTTTAAATAACATGGATGAGTACATTAGTGCCATAAAACACGTAATTTACAACACCGACTCATATTTACACTTTTAACCAATATGCCAAATATTTCAAGACCATTGTATTCGCTTACATGGAGGCCACATTCTTAACTCCACCGGCCAGCAATTTCTGGAAAGCTATTTTCAAACTCGAGAGAAAGTGATTTCTCTCAAGATTTTTATGCGAAATGTCATATGTCATCGTAAAAACAGTATTTTTTGCTTATATTTTCTAAAAAAAAAAAAAAAAAAAAAAAAAAAATATAGATCTGGGTTTCATTCAGAAAAGTCCGTATCTGGCAGATCGGTCATATTGGGTTGGCAATATCCACGCCAAGTGATATCGTTTTGAATGTTTGAAAAAGATACTTATAGCGTCTCCCTACCTTACAACTCCATGGTGCGTCCATATGTTTTATCGCAAAATAGTGTTTATGCCCTCTCCACGTTATTCTATCTCAATGGTTGGACACATTAGATTTTTTCTTCGAACGTCAAATAAACATTTTACTGTTCCAATTTGATGAAGTTAAAGTTTCACTTTTTTGGCAACAAGGCGTTGCTATTACCAGCGATTTAAAAGTATATTTACCTTCACTGTGAGCAAAAAATAACAATGTACTCTTTTTTCAGTTATATTGGTAACCAATAAAAATGAAGCAAACCTTAAACTGTATTCTATTACTGACTTTATACATTAGTTGGGCATTTGCTGAAGAAGGTAATGAAAATAAATTTTAAGTATTTTTATGACTGAATCAAAATATTTAAATTTATGCTGTTTTGGATGAAGCTACACTTATTTTACAATATTGTTATGGCCTAGTTTCTTTTTTACCACAGCGCAAACACAATTGAACCTACAAGGCATTCCTAATCCACCACAGTTGTTAGGCGTGGAATGTCATATCAAAGATGCTACGATCCAATGGCGGCCAATGGGAGATAATTTAGCTCCAATTCTTTATTATATCATTCAGTACAATACCAGTTTCATACCAGAAGAATGGAAGGATTTTGGTCAAGCACCCTCCAGCGATTCCATATATAATGTTAATCTAGCACCGTGGGCCAATTATACATTTAGAGTTATAGCTGTTAATAAAATCGGACAATCAAAGCCATCTTTGCACTCAGAGGTTTGCACAACACCAGCTGAGGTAAGTGATCAAATTCATTTTTTCTACAGTCATGCATAAACTTCTAAACTATTTTTTCAAACATAGTAAAAGAGCCCGCGACCAAAATTTCGAGTTATTCCATGAAAAATTATTAATTCAGGTCAAACGAATTAAATATTTATGACGGTAGGATTCTCATCTGTTATGTAGGTGCCTCGTACAAATCCGGATAATGTAAGACTAGAAGGAGATGAAGATAATTTAGTGATAACTTGGACGCCAATGCCACAAATTGAACACGGTGGACCTGGTTTTAAATATCGTGTCGGTTGGAAAAGAGCAATAAATGGAGAAGATTATGAATTCGTAGATATCGACAATTATAAACAAAATAGATTGATTATTCCAAATCAACCTTATTTTCATTTATACTACATCGTAGTTGGTGCAGCAAATGAACTAGGACAGGCAAATGTTGCTCCACTAACGGTAACAGGCTATTCTGGAGAAAGTAAACCTGTGAGAGCTCCTACTAATTTTACATTGTTAGATATTCTTGGACCAACGACAGCTTTGTTTAGTTGGGAACCTGTTCCGAAGGAATCCATCAGAGGTCATTTCAAAGGCTACAAAATTAAAATATGGAGTAAAACGTCACCTATAGCTAAGGATATTTATGTCAAAGGAGATACATCAAAAGCTTTAATATCAAACTTTGATCCTTACACAACGTGTTATGCACAGGTTAACGTTTTCAACAATAAATATGATGGACCTCCAAGCGATGTGATTTCTTTTAACACTCCGGAAGGAAGACCAGAAGGGATGCAAGGATTGGAAGCTTATCCATTAGGTTCCACGGGTTTTCTGTTAAAATGGGACAAACCAGACAAACCCAATGGTATTCTCACAGGTTACAATATTTATTGGTCTAAAATTGACTCTGGGATGGTTAATGAGCCAAATTCTAGAATACCTCAGATTGCAGATCCTAATGTGAATACTGCCAAACTTGATGGATTACAAGCTGATTCTAGTTATCGAATCTATATAACTGCCACTTCAAAAGCTGGAGAATCTCATAGATACTTTATAGAGAAAAACACTCGGCAACATGGCAATTATAAACCTTCCAAACCGTCTTTTGAATGGGTTTTCGTAAACCCTGACCGTACTTCCGTACGAATTCACTGGTTGCCGGCTGAAGATGGTAATGGAGGCACGTATTTTTTGGTGAAATACAAGAAACGCGGAGAATTAAATTTCCATTGTTGCGACGAAAAATATGAAGACTGGATTATAATTTCTGGATTAGAAGACTCGACTGTATATGAATTCATTGTCACCGCAGTAGACGGCCCGAGTCCCGATTTATTTACAGATAGTGATATGCAAGAAATCAGCACTTATAGCAAACCTGAGACGCTACTTATTCAACCGTGAGTAAATATTTTTACTTTTAAAATTTCATTATGAGAAAAAAAAAATTAAATAAAAAGTGATCAAGAGAAGATGTTTCTAAAGTAGGCCATGACTGATATAGACAGATATACCAGTTATGTCCGTGATAACTGCGCATGGCTATGAATTAAATCCAAACTAAAAAGTAAAAAAAGAAGATGTCTACGTACAACATACGTGAATTTTTGTAAAGCCTAGTTTAGAAATATTTTTGTTGATCAGTCCTTATAAAGATCATTTTTTTTTGTAATTTTGCTATATTATTTAAAAGGAATTAACCTTAAACCTTAAACCTTAAACCTTAAACCTTAAACCTTAAACCTTAAACCTTAAACCTTAAACCTTAAACCTTAAACCTTAAACCTTAAACCTTAAACCTTAAACCTTAAACCTTAAACCTTAAACCTTAAACCTTAAACCTTAAACCTTAAACCTTAAACCTTAAACCTTAAACCTTAAACCTTAAACCTTAAACCTTAAACCTTAAACCTTAAACCTTAAACCTTAAACCTTAAACCTTAAACCTTAAACCTTAAACCTTAAACCTTAAACCTTAAACCTTAAACCTTAAACCTTAAACCTTAAACCTTAAACCTTAAACCTTAAACCTTAAACCTTAAACCTTAAACCTTAAACCTTAAACCTTAAACCTTAAACCTTAAACCTTAAACCTTAAACCTTAAACCTTAAACCTTAAACCTTAAACCTTAAACCTTAAACCTTAAACCTTAAACCTTAAACCTTAAACCTTAAACCTTAAACCTTAAACCTTAAACCTTAAACCTTAAACCTTAAACCTTAAACCTTAAACCTTAAACCTTAAACCTTAAACCTTAAACCTTAAACCTTAAACCTTAAACCTTAAACCTTAAACCTTAAACCTTAAACCTTAAACCTTAAACCTTAAACCTTAAACCTTAAACCTTAAACCTTAAACCTTAAACCTTAAACCTCAAACCTCAAACCTTAAACCTTAAACCTTAAACCTCAAACCTCAAACCTTAAACCTTAAACCTTAAACCTTAAACCTTAAACCTTAAACCTTAAACCTTAAACCTTAAACCTTAAACCTTAAACCTTAAACCTTAAACCTTAAACCTTAAACCTTAAACCTTAAACCTTAAACCTTAAACCTTAAACCTTAAACCTTAAACCTTAAACCTTAAACCTTAAACCTTAAACCTTAAACCTTAAACCTTAAACCTTAAACCTTAAACCTTAAACCTTAAACCTTAAACCTTAAACCTTAAACCTTAAACCTTAAACCTTAAACCTTAAACCTTAAACCTTAAACCTTAAACCTTAAACCTTAAACCTTAAACCTTAAACCTTAAACCTTAAACCTTAAACCTTAAACCTTAAACCTTAAACCTTAAACCTTAAACCTTAAGAACTTTGAAACTTGAACGTTTGCAGTATTTTTCATAGATTTATTTAGACCATTTTAATGCATTTCATGGTAGAGTCTCTACGACCAGCGATCACAAACAAGGACCTAAAAGCGGCTATGGAGATGGAGATAGTGTGGGTGAGTATAGGCTTTTTCGTCTTCCAAGTAATGGAGCAATATCGATTTTGAAATATTAACAGACTGTTTCAAGAACATCCCTTTAAATTTGTGATCCTGATAAACTTTGACACATGTTTAGACTATGAGTAATTTGAAGTTCAGATTTTCAATCTCTGTCAAAGTTTATCAGAATTCGGGATCAACTGGTACCACATCTTATTTGGGGCCAGATGGTATCCAGCCAGTAGCATCGTGTTCTTATAATTCAAATGTAAAAAATATTGGGGTGCCTATTATACCAATGGACTATTTCAATAATATTTTAACAACAGAGTAGGGAGATCTAATTAAGTTTGAACTGCTCCAAAGTTTAGAAAACTAGACTAAAGAAGTCACGGATTCTTTTTCTTGGGAAAAGATAAAGTAGAAGCAAGGAATAATTACCTACTATTCCTGAATTTCTTCAATGTCTTGATAAAAGAGCAGGTAAAAATATCTCCTATTGAGGGAGAAGACATACGAGAGGAGAGTATGTCCATGGTCGTAGAACTACAAGAAAGTGGGGCTACAGTAAAAGTGACTGAGGCTCCATTGTAAATAGAGGGTTCAGAATCTACAGCACAGTAGCTAGGTGAAGAAAAGGAGGGGTCTCTTTTAGGGGACTTACTGCTGCCTGACCTAGGTTTTGCGCAGGAGGAGAACGAGGACCCTATATTAAGAACTAAGGAGTACCTAAAAAAAAACAAAAATGTAGAGAATCCAATAAAATATACGTCACTGCCTTACAATGATGTATAAAAAACAAAATATTGATATTGCTCTAATCCAAGAACCTCTTGAATGGAAATGGTGAAATAGAGGGTTGCACATATCACGAGGCCATGATATGAAACATTTAACGTCTGGACATCCGAGAACGTACATTGTTGCAAAAGAAGAGCTTGTAACAACCTAGTAACAATATCCCTCAAGCTAGACAGGGGAAATAATTTAATTGTTGATCCGTATCTTTGCTAAATGACCAACTGGGACTCCTCCTAACCAGTGAGGCGATAGATTAGTCACTGTAAACAAATTAAAATTTAACTTCTCCTAGGGTACGATGCGAATGCTCATCATTCAGTATGAGGGAGCAGAGATATTAATATCCAAGGAAAAGCTCTTCTAGAATTTATTATACGATAGAATTTATTGCATCCAATAAACTAGAAGTGGCAAACGTTGGAAATGAACCAACCTTCGTTACATCTGTGGAAAGGGATATCATTGATATAACCTTTTGTACACAACGGGAGTATTAGTTGGTGGGGAAGTGGCACGTCTCAAAAGAAGTGTCATTTTCTGACCATAGTCACATATTCTGTTTAATCCGAGGACAGAAACTTTGGATGAAAAGACATATCTCACTCCCAGATCCTGTAATTGGGGGTCCTTCAAGGAGAAATTTAAGCAGGGACCGCAGTTGAGTTTATATCGGAGTTTTTGACACAAGCCTTAACCAATACTTTTGAAAAAACTGCTCTATTTAAATAAGGAAAGAGGATCAAAATGCTGTATGGTGGAATCGGGACCTTTTCGAAAAAAGAACAGAAGTTCTTAAAGTTTTTGATGTAGCCAAAATGTCGGTGAACTGGGAAGCCTATGAGGAGTAGATTGAAAAGTCTAAAAAAATTCCTGGAAGTTTTCCAAATAGTTCTAGACTCAAGAAAACTTTACAAAGAGTAAGGATGCATCCGACCTTTGAAAACTCAACAACGAGAACTCACAATCACAGATTTCAGAGATATTACTAGTCATACTTTGCTAGATCTGAAATTATCCTTAACAAAGAGAACATGAGTATCAAGGGATAATGCTTTGTTACTCCTGTTCATGTTCCTAGAGCCACACAAGCAAACTGGTCTCTTGCAAAAATAAAATAGTAAACAGAACAAAACTTGTATTAGCGATAAACTCCTTTCCAAGACAGCAGGACCTGATGGTCACGGTACTTCTACAAAAAGGACAGGAGATGCAATGTGTAAATTATTTCAAAATACATTTTTAAAACTCATATCAGGACAGGCGACAGAGGGACTCGAACTCATCATCTTCCGAATACGAGGCAGATGCGTTATTACAGACACCTTGCTAGGTATTTTAAGGCAACAGAACCTAATTTATTATTGAAACCAGAAGCCGAATTCGCTCGATCCCAAATGAAAGTCAGTAATTTGATATTTATTCATAAAATAAAATGGCCAAACTCAATAAAAAATTATTTTTCTAAAAAACTCCGTGTAAAAAATCGTATGTGGTATTTTTATTGCAGATGGCATTAAACCTGAAGTCATTCCATCTACACCACCTCATAGTAACAAACAGTTTATAGAAGGAACTTCGAGAGACTAGAAACAAAGGAAACTAAAAAAATTAACTACATCACAGTTACAACGTCTTGTTCTCTTGGAACAGCTTTAAGAATTAAGATTAAGGAAAGAAATATTAATGATAAATCAAAATAAACAAACAATAAATCTATGCATTTAAATGACGAGGCTAAAAGTTTTGTGAAGATAATTTTTTTATTGATTTTTAAATTTTACTAAATATGTTAGGAATTAAATTAATTTAAATTTGTTTGAATTTTTAAAATGGTTATGCGATACTGCCGCAATAAAGTTTCAGACCTTTAAAATAAACTTATTTTATTTTATAGAAAATAATGGCAACCATAAAAACTACCTGGCGATATATCGAGTGGTACACTACACTACCCCCTCCCCAGAGACACCGTCAGGTTCTAACGTCTCGAAATCTGACAGATTGTTTTCTCTTCTCCGTTGGTTTAGAATTGATTGTCGGATTGATAGGAGGTTCCGTAGTATAAAATGCTGGCTTAATTCTGCCTATCGATATCTTTTCCATTGACACTGACTTGAAAAACTTGTCAAAACGAGACAAAACCTAAAAATGGATGGTGTAGGGGTTGTCTAACTTAATCGTCTCGTATAAAAACGTGACTGCGTTTCTATAGATCGGAATGTACGGAACAGGAACTCTGTTTATGAACTGTGGTAGGAACAGAGCACAATTTTCTTATTTGCTCCTTTAGATGACTTGAAAAAACAGCTTAATTGTAATTAATTGGTAGCTTACCTAGAAAGTTGTAAACCAGGGGCGCGTATATTTTAAGAAATAAAATAAATGGAAAATAGTGAATGATGCTTGTTTATACATATTGCTTAGTGTTATTATTAGTACATAATCATGGGCGTCGTTACACAATTCTATAGGGGGGGGGGCAAAATTTTGAAAAAAATTAATATGTTTATTTATTGGCAAACAAAGAAAATGAAACATAAAAGAGAATTTTCCTATGATAGATTTAATTATTCTGTGACGTCATGGCTTACTTCCAGTTTTTCCAGAAATAACAGAAAATCCCAATTTATTTTTTATTATTAAATGAAAACCCTTTTTCTTATTGAAAATTTGAATTTCTGGGACATTTTTGTATAAGAAGCGTGTATTGAAAATTTTCTCAGTAATATATTAAAAAAAATATGTTCCAATATGATGATCATTTTGACAGCTGACAAAAAATTTTCAACACATGATTCTTATCCATAAATGTCCCTAAAATTCAAATGTTCAATAAAAACAGGGGTTTCTATTTAAAAATTAAAAATAAATTAAGATTTTGTTATTTCCGATAAAACAGAAGTAAGCCATGAAGTCACACATCAATTGAATCCAGTATATGAGAGTATTTGTCCCAAGCTTTTAAACACATAAGTTTTCATTCCAATATCTCAATTAACAACGAAGATAAAAGCGGATAGAATTATTAAACGGTATGCTAATAATAAAAATGCTTAGATACGCCACTGGTATACGGTAAATGGGTCTTAATGGGAATTTTGAAGCCTAAAAAGATTTTATGAAGTTTGTACATTCCTATATGTTTTTCCATAAACAAATTAATAGTAACATATTTAGAAAAAATATTATCCAATATGGCGGCCATTTTGACAGTTGACAAAAAATTGTCAATACACGATTATTATACAAAAATGTCCCAGAAATTTAAATTTACAATAAAAAAGAGGGTTTCCTTTTAAAAATAAAAAAAATCTGTTATTTTCGGAAAAATCGGAAGTAAGCCATGACGTCACAGAACAATTGAATCTATCACAAGAAAGTCTTTCAAACAGAACAAAATTAATCCGATATCTCACTGAATAGCGAAGCTAAGGGGGAGTGGAACTGTAGTAGTAACCCTAACAATGTCACTGACCTATTTGACAGAACTGATACTTAAGTTGTCATAACAAGTCTCTAATAAATAAAATAACCCAACAAAAAAGACCAAATAAAAGTATATAGATTTATAAAACAAGTGAAAAAATTATTAATATTAATATTATTATTATATATTTTTATTACTTCAGCTAAAAAAAAGTAGTATAATCAATACAAATCAATAATAAAAAAACATAGGTAGGTATTTACGAGAAAATGTATGAGATCTTGCATAAGCCTAATAAAATGTCATTGAAGAATAGGTTAAATAATGTCAAAATAAAAACACTACTATTATGTAATAATATAGAATTAAAAAGTATTAACAAAAATAATTGGTATATTTGCGATTGTAATTTATATTTTCTTCATTTTTAGTTCGAAAGAACCCATAGAAATTAATGAATAAAACTGGTTTCCTATCAATGAGTTACAAGATTGCATTTCAGCCATATACAATAATTAAAGGCAGAAATCTAATCATTTGCTAAACATTTAAGACTTAAGGGATGTTGAAGAATATCATAAAATAATAATTTATTGTTTATTTAAAACCTTTTCTGATGTCTATTATTTCCAGTATTACTGCTATTATTACAAAAATAACGGTTTTTTTTCTTCTTATTATACAGCTGTCTATTTATTTTTTTGATTTAATTTCTATTTTGCTACTGAAAATTTATATAATACTCAGTTTTTTTGCTAGTATAATTTGTAACATAGCAACTCAGGTTGCTCATTTATTGTTTTTAACCTATTTTTTAGTAAAAATTAAAATATATACGTGTATTTGATACGCCAAAATTACAAAATATCGCCCTAAAGTACTCGAATTATCCGCAGCTTGCGCTAGTATCGCTTTTGCTTTCCCTACCATGACTTCGCACTGTTCGAATATATTGCAGCCATGTTTTAACATGCTTTAGCTAAACGTTCTTTCGATTAACTCTGTCGTTGGTGGAAGAGCCATAAATATTTTTTAAACCACTTTGTATGTCTGGATAAAATTCACAATGTTTGGATGCTATATCATTAATGGAGAGCTCATTGTGTGTAGAAAGCTCTTTCGTACTCCAGTTTGGTATTCAGCTTCAAAATTGTCGATTCCAAATTTTTCCACTACTTTTGTTTTCTAATTGGTAATGAAAAAAGTATTGTTTTTATGCTTTCGGGATGTAACAGGCTTAAGGACAAACAGAGTCTTCGGAAAAGCGTGATGTAAGCGGAATCCAAATATGCAATAAATATATTCAACCTATAATATTCTTCAACTATATTAGCATGAATATTAATATTTCTATATGAGATTGTTGTTCGTAAGGCATATCTTATTGATTAAGTCGCTAAAAGCCAGGGGGGGGCAACTGCCCCCCCTTGCCCCCCCCCCCCCCCCAAACGACGCCCATGTACATAATTCTATAGTCAATTAAAAAATCATTATTTTTAGGTAAGTTGACTTTAGGTTAAGGAGAGCTCTGGTGCTCTAGTATTTTGTATTTTAACTGACATTAATTTTTTTATAAACAAAATATGAAATAATATGTATATAATAATAATAATTTAAGAAAAACAAAAACATGTTTAATTTTATAGCCTATAAGTAAATACAAACAACGTAAACAGTAAATCACAAATAAATAATGTTCATATGTCTTCGTCAGATTCTTCGTTGGAAGAAGACTCGTCACTGTCGTCACTGGAATCCTCATTAGGATTAATGATGACAGGATTAATTTCCGAACATAAATCAGTTTGTATTTCTCTTTCAAAATATTTATCTTCTACCTTTATAACATGATCGCATCGCTTTTTCCATTCCTCCATACCGATTTTGTTAAATTCTTCTGCTAATTGTTTTACGTCTTCTAATTTAAAGGTAACATTTCTTTGACTGACATTATTCTTAACAGTTGCCCAAATCAATTCGATAGGGTTCAATTCGAGGTGATATGGGGGTAACCGTAAAGCGGTGTGGCCGTATTCTCGACACAACTCATCAAATGCATATTTTACATTATGAGATTTAATCAGTTCATATAACTCTGGTTTCAAACTTGTTGGATTAAGAGGTATCTTGTATTTTATCAACCATTCGATCATATAATTCTTCAAATAATTGGAATTAGGTGCTCGATTTGTCTGTACATTGTGATAACTAGCATTATCACAAACAATTATTGAATTAGGTGGAAGATTAGGTATTAACTTCTCTCTTAACCATGTAGTTGAAGAGCCTGCTGCATTTACACATCCTGTAGTCCATCAATGAATGCTTGGATGCCGATTTGTTCTAAAAAGTCTTTGGGCCCCTATTGATAGGCCAAAAGCAGCAATCTTCTAATATCGGCCTCGAATTCTTGTAGACTTTCATTGTGTTTCTGACTACGAACTTTTATCTGGCTTTGGAATACCCGTTTCAAATGCTGCTGGCCATATTTTGTCTCCAAAGCTTGGACGAGAGATAAATAACTAAGTTCTTCTCGAGGAAGTAACTGTAAAACGGTTGCTTCCTGATTTCGCAGACACACTATCAATTAAACTGCCATCTCTTACTCGGTTCAGTCATTGGCTCTAGCTGCAGCTTCAAATTGGAGTCAATATGTTTCCCATGTTGTCTAACTGTCAAACGTGGGTGGCTTAAGGGTTTTCTTACTGTGGTATTGTGAGACTGGGGTTCGAATATGGCTTGGGTCGTTTATAGATGAAGACTAGGTAATGTTTTCAGCTTCATTGTTATTTACTGAAGCTTGGCTATGAAATTTTCTTTCTAACTCAGTCATTTCAATTCCAAATTGCCTTTCCAAATCCGCTCTAGTGCCTTCTCTTGTTGTAGCTCTAAACTAGCATTTAAATTATCTCATTGCTGCTCTAAATTATCTTGTTGTTGCTCTAAATTAGTTTTTAAATTATCTTCTTGTTGCTCTAGGAGATCTATTAGACTGTTCAGTTAACCTACCTTTTGACTGAATTTTTCTTAAATTTGTAGCAAGCCATTCATAATTTCCCCCTCTGCTTCTCTCTGCCTGTCCTCCTTCTCCTCTTCTTGCCTTTTCCTCTTCTTTTCTTTGTCCTTCCTGCGTTAAAAATGGTATTTTTAGTTTAATATTGACTTTTTCATAAGTTAGTTTACATTTTTCTAGGACATTTTATTTTTCTAATACCCTGCTATAGAAGTTATCCTTCTTTTCAGGGTGGTTTGTCCTGATTACAATAAGTAACTTGACTAGCTATTTTCCTAAGTTGTCGTGTGCGCGTGTGGGACCTGCGTGGCAAGTTGTGTTCCCCGAAAATATCGCCAATTT